AAGTGGCCTGCAGGAGTTTGGGGTTACCCAGAGAGTGAATGTGCATGTACATGCAAAGGGTGGGGAGTGAAGATAAGGTGTGGGAAGGAGGGAATTACTAACCATTACTGCAAAGGTGGAAGGTGGGGCTCCATCTGAAGGACTTAGGGCTGCTGTATTAGAGATTGTGAATGGTGAAATACTACAGAAATGGGTCAGAAATGGAGTACATCAGGCAAAATCATAATTTTGACTCCCTTGCAAATATTCAGAATCACATACAAATTATAATCATAGGGAAGGAAATTCAGTTTGCAATGGAAAAAAAAAAAAAAGTGATATCTCCTATTAAAATCCATGCATTTTTGCCTGTACATACAAATACACAAATTGTTTTTCTCAGTGAAGACTTGGAAGCGACTGTAATCTGTTCCTAGAAACAGCACTTGATAAATACAGGAGACTATAGATAATAGTTGTGTTGTGCATCTAAAAAATATAAACATACTGTTGAAGAAGTTTAGGGAAAAAAATATTGGATTTTTTTTATTATTATTATTCTTGGAAGACCCAGGTTGTTTGCAGCTAAGGTACTGATCTTGTTCATGTTACGAGTTTGAAAACTGTATTGTCAGCCTGACTGTTTCTTCTGTGCATCACTCCAGCCTGCCTGCCACAGCTGACGACAGAAAGGATCTCTGACCAATAAGTAGCTAACTGCAAACATTTCTTTTGGTTTCCCAGTGGGTTAGCTCCGTCTCTTGCTCAGCAAAGAAAAGATGTGTAACAGACAGGAAAGAGGGGAAGAAACATTGGCAGAGAACTCTGTGATTACTGTTGTACTGAATCTCGTTTAAGTTTTCCAATTTGTAAATGAACGGGATCATAAATTACTCATGTAAAGGAAGGCTGGCCTTTTCCTAGGTTTCCCCCAAATACGATGTTGTTCCCAGACAATGACATAGGATCCACAGACATTAGTGAAATTTGGTTTAAAGGCTCAGATTTCGCCGGTGGGCAAACCCAGAAATCAACACCACCCACTGTCACTGCCAAGTGGGAGATTTTGTTTTGATTTAGCAAAGTGCTCGGGCTGCTATCTCGCCGAAGTACAGACTCCGGAGCTGTTTTTCCTAGAGGCCTCGGTCCACAGAAGCACTTAATCAGGGCTTAACTTTAAGGAAGTGAGTGATCTTATTGACTTCAATGGATGATGCGCATTTGTAAAATCGCGGCATTTAAACATCCTATTCAAGTGGTCCAAATCCAGCGAGGAGGAAAATGGCTAATGTTGCATTTCCCTAATAAAATCATGTATGACATTCCTGAGATGGAGACAGTGAGGTTTTGAAGTCCTTTTGTTTACGCGTTGCCAGAAGAAATTGATTAAATTGCCCGGGATTAGCGGCTGCTAAAGAATGGCTTGTAATTAAATGGTAGAATGTGTCACTCTCTACACATTTTAGGCCACAATCTGTTGGCGTAAACTGCGGTTTTTTTTCAAAGTCCGTTGTGACCAGATGAAATGAAACTATTACACTTGCCTTTACACCTGAAAGATTCTTGCTTCACAGCCAGGTATCAACTGCAGTAGTTTACATATTGCATTTGTGACTAAAAAGTAAATATTACATAATAAAGAAAATGCTATTCTGTTGTATTTATATATTGACCACACAAGGGTTCTCTTAAATGGAAAAAAAAAAACAAAAAACCAACAAACATTACTACAGCTCCAAATACCAAGATAAAGAATAAAGCTAAAACTCTGAGCTGGCTTCTTACTTTTCTGTGATCTGATCTATGCCTTATTGAAATCAATTAAAAGATTTGCACTGACTTCGGAACGATTTGGATTGGGTGTTTAACTAGTAAAAGAAGTGATAATTTAATAAAAGCCCACATACTTCTCTCTCTCTTTTTTTTTTTTTTTTCTCATTAAATCTAATGCCAATCTAAAGGAAGGAAATTGAGAATTACGGTGAAATTGACAACTGTTTCATCTAACCGCACAGTGGATTTCAACATAAAGCACGAGAACCAAAAAAAAAGGGTTTTTGGATAAAGGGATTTCTCGGACACTTGTGGACACCTGGGTCAGATGCAACAGGCTCCTGAACCTGGCTGTGTTTTCACCTCAAAATACATAAATAAGTAAAATAAAAAATTAAGGAGCCCGACAATGCTGTTTCTTCCAGCATCTCTAAGATAAGGCTTTGGAGCTCTTAAAACATCGTTTTGTTTTCTGTATCTCTCTTTGGTGTTATTCTTTGTACGATTTCAAAGTGACTGCTCTGACCCACCAGAAAGACGGCTGCCGCACTGCTGTGCAACGCGGCTCACTCTCATAGGGGCCTGGGGGTCTGTGCGGATGGCACGGTCAATGTAGCACACAAACTGCCAACACTAAGTTCAGAAAATTGTACTCTTTATCCTGGAAAGGAGTCCCGGAGCACAGGAGTTTACAGTTTATTGGGGAAAAAAAAATATCAAGAGAAGAAACGATGCATGGCCAACGTTGGTTTATAGAAAATAATTAAATCGAAGAAACAATGGAAATGGAACTAAAGTTGAAACTGTGCACTTGTGATATCAAATATCAATGCAATCATTTTGCAGCAGATAAAATGCATGGCAATTAGAGCTTTTTTACATTATATTATAATAAATTCATAATTCATGCATACAACGAGAGCTTTTGGAAAGGAGAATTTGAATTTAACAAACACTACCACTCATCATCTGAGCAAAGATGGCAAAAGGAATTTCAACATTATTTGTGATCTACAAAATTGAACCATCGTTGCTTTGTGTTGTGCTTCCCTTGCACAGACTGCAGTGCCTTCTGTCTGCTTTAGGGTGTGGCATCTGCCATTGGGGAGGAAAAACTGGCATGTGTTGCCTTTTATAGCAGACTGATTTCATTGTGCTGAGGGCCTCTATTTTATAGCCTCTTACTTCCAATCTTGTAGCCGAGTTGCTGAAACAAATGGAAGGAATAGGAGTGGTATAAACTCTTTGGCTTAAAGCGTCATCTTTTTTTTTTTTTTTCCTTATTTTCTTTTTTTTTTTTTTTTTTTTCCCAGGGAGAACATTCGCAAATAAATCTGTATTAAACTTTGTGGGTTATTTTCTTGGTCAGAGGAGTTGTGCAGTATGTCAGGAAGTATTGCGAACCTCAGCTGGGGCGCTATCGGTACACGTTGCCGGGTTTTAAATGCTTATATTTTTGCTCGAATATAAATGTCTTAAGGTGCAAATGTGTAATTGATTTTTTTATTTTATTTTGTGAGTACACATGTAAATAAATACACACAAGTAGACATCTATATTTATATTTGCATATGAAAGACTTCAAAAAATCAACTTAGGTGGTTTAATGTGTATAATTAGCGCGCATTTGAATATCGAAAAGAAGAAAATCCAGGAGAAAATGTCAAAAAGGCTCACTAACAAAGATGTAGTATTCTCTTGGCAAAAGCTGATGAATGATTTGGCATGAATTCATCTTACAGTTCTGTTATTCTCTCTCCTACAAGGATGATATACCCCTTTCCAGCAGTTTGCATAGAACTGCAATTTGTTGTTGTTACAGGCTGTAATGACCCTTGGGTATGCACCTGATTCCCCCCACTAGAATTACTCACCATTTTTTTCCCCCCTTCTGTGTTTTTCCAGTAGCCAGGTAACATTTCTGCACTTGCAGAGAGAACCGAAAGAAGACAAACACAACTGTAACAGAAGCGTTACCACGATGGACTTGGTGAACGCTGAGACTTTTCAAAACTGGCTCCATTATGGAAAGCTGAATACTTCCGACTGTTCAGACAGAACTACAATTAATAGACATTGGAATCGCACTGGTCATACATTTATCAATAATCTTTGTGGGTAATTCAACATTAGAGCAAGAAGCTTCTGCTCTTTTATGTTTCCACAGTGGGTACAATGAAGCCTACCAGCTCACGACGGCATCGCTCTCGAGATGCTGTATTTTCCCCTACCATTATTATCGAATCTCCTATTTAGCCATTTTGAAATTTGAAAATGTGGTTACCTTTGGCATTGTGCACAGAAATATTCATCTGAAACAGCGCATCTCAGCCCCTCGCTGTATTGAAAACGTTTGCTAATATCCCGGTTTGCTATCTGTGCTCATAGCAGAGTATTTGATCTCCCCGATGCTTTCATTAGTTTAATGTAGTGTGTGACTATTACTTTATACCGGGGTATCATTTGTAGTAAGATAGCTATTAAAAAAAAAAAAAAAAGCCATCCTGAAAGATGGCTCAAAAATGTAGGTCATCAGCAACAGCTTTCCCTTTGGAGCGAAAGTTATTTGGGTGACGTATTTTGATTTTGTGTGTGTGTGTGTATCGCTGCCCTCTCATGAGTGTCCTGCGAAGCAAATCACATTGTTTCGGGACACAATTAGCGGGCTGCGGACGCCTCGCTCCCGTTGGTGTGCGGGGAACAGACTGGGAAGGGCCCTGTGCCATTAGTGACCATTAGGCTGGGGAGGCAGCTGGACCATGTGGACACAACCGCGAGGGTGCGGAATTTGGGTTAAATTTCAGAAGCGTCTGCGCACAAAATGGGGAAAAAAATGGAAAAAAGTGCGTTTTTCGGTGAAACGGGGAGCGTTTCCCTGCGGGGGGGGAAAGCGGCACGCTGGGTGTGGGGAGCGGAGCGGCGCCTCCCCGAGGCTGCCCCTCGGGGCCGCCCGCTCCCGGTGTCCCCCCCTCCTCGTGTCCCCCCCCCATTCCTCCCGGTGTGTCCCCCCGCGGTGTCCCCGGGGCGCGGATCCTGTCGCTGCGGGCTCCAGGCCGCGTTTTGCGGGTGCGCGGGGCGCGGAGGGGGCGATGGCTGCCGGGGCTCGCCCGCCCGTGCCATGCTGGGCCGGCGCGCTGAGGCCGGGCGTGCGCCTACCCATATCCGGGCTGGGGAGGAAAGGAGGAAAAAAAAAAAAAAAGAGAAAAAAAAAAAAAAAAAAAGTTTGGTTTGAGCCCGAACTCGCGCACACACGCACAAAAAAAAAGAAAAAAACTTTGAAGGCGAAGTGTCGGAGCGGGAAGGGGCGCGTGGCGCTGCCAGGCCCCGCTCCCAGCCCTTCTGCCGGCGGGCGGGGGCCCGGATTTTGTTACTTTTTGTTGAAAATTTCCCCTCTTTCCAATTTTTTAACTTTTTATCCCCCCCCTCTTCCCCCCTCCGCTCCCCTCCGCCGCCGTGCCGGGCCCCCGGCCCCGCGATGTGGCGCTGATCATGGCCGCGCAAGTGGCAGCGGCCCCGGCGGGCGCCGCCAAGGGCAGGGCGGGCGGGCTGCCGCCGCGGCCCGAGCGGGGGCCGGGGGGCGCCGGCAGCAGCCCCGCGGGGGCCGGGGGCGGCGTGAGCCGAGCGGGGCAGCCCCGGCAGCGGCCGGGCGAGCCGCCGGCCATGGCCAATACCGCCGCGCCCGCCGCCGGCAACGGCAGCGGCACCGCCGCCTCCGCCTCGGAGCCGGCCGCGAAGGACGGGGGAAGCTGCTCGGCGCTGCCTGCGCGCCGCTCGGCGCCTTCCTCCTCCTCCTCCTCCTCCTCCAACCCGGGCCCGGCCATGGAGACGGGGCTGCTCCCCAGCCACAAGCTGAAGAGCGTCGGAGGCGATCACCCCGCCGCGCCGCCCCAGCACCAGCACCAGCACCACCAGCACCAGCACCGTGCCCAGCACCCGCAGCACCATGCCCACCACCACCACCGTGCCCACCACCCGCACCACCACCACCACCACCACCACCGCCCGCAGCAGCAGCAGCAGCAGCAGCAGCAGCAGCTAAATCAATTCCCGCCGCCGCCGCCGCCGCAGCAGCCGCCGCCTCAGCACCATCCCGTGCAGAATAACAACAGCAGCCTCGGCGGCGGCGGCGGCGGCGGCAGCAACAACAACGGCGGTGGCGGTGGCGGCGCTGCTCAGCCCAGTGCAGACATGGAGCAGCAGCAACATGGAGGAAAAGACAGTGTTTTGGGACGCTCAGGCCGAGCCCCCGCAGCAGCCGCAGCAGCTGCTGAATAAAGGCGCCGCCGACGAGGAGGAGATGCCCGGCAAAATGGGCGAGCCCATCGGCGGCCGCTACGACCACCCCGGCTTGGGACCCCTGGGCGGACAGCAGCAGCCCCAGCAGCCGCCCCCGAGCGCCGGGAGCGGCGGCGGCGGCCTCGGCGGCGGCGGCGGCGGCGGCGGCAGCGGGGGAGGCGGCGGCGGCCCCTCCGCGGTGGGTGTCTCGGAGTTCAATAGCTATTATGGCAACGCTGCCCCTGCCCCTGCCAGCAGCGCTCCGGCGAGCCGCGCCGGGCCTTGCTTTGATCAACATGGCGGACAACAAAGCCCCGGGATGGGGATAATGCACCCCGCGGCGGCCCCCAACAGCATGGACCCCCTGCAGAACTCGCACGAGGGGTACCCCAACAGCCAGTACAACCACTACCCGGCCTACGCCCGCGGCCCCGGCGGCCCCGGCGGCGGCGGCGGCGCGGGCGGCGGCGGCGCGGGAGCCGTGGCGGCGGCGGCGGCGGCCGCCGGGGCAGGCGGCGGAGGAGGCGGCGGAGGAGGAGGAGGAGGAGGAGGCGGCGGCGGCGGCGGCGGCGGAGGCTACGGGGGCTCGGCGGCCGGCTACGGGGTGCTGAGCTCCCCGCGGCAGCCGGGCGGCGGCATGATGATGGGCCCCGGCGGCGGGGCCGGCCTCGGCAAGGCTGCTGCCGGCGCGGCGGCGGCGGCGGCCGGCGGCTTCGCGCGGTTCTCCGGGCAGAACCAGCACCCGTCCGGGGCCACCCCTACCCTGAACCAGCTGCTCACGTCCCCCAGCCCCATGATGCGGAGCTACGGCGGCAGCTACCCCGACTACAGCAGCCCCAGCGCCCCGCCGCCGCCGCAGCCCCAGCCCCAGGCAGCGGCGGCCGCCCCGGGCAGCCAGCAGGCAGCGGCGGGCATGGGCATGGGCAAGGACATGGGCGCGCAGTACGGGGCGGCCAACCCGGCCTGGGCAGCGGCGCAACAAAGAAATCACCCGGCCATGAGCCCCGGCAGCACCGGGCAGACCATCAGCAGGACGCAGGTAACCAGCCCCCCGCGCCATCCGCCGCGCCGCGCTCGCAGTTTCTTTATCCCTCACTTTTCTGCCCCCCTCCCCCGCCTCCCCGTTCCCTCTTTCTTTATTTTTGCTTTCTTTTTTCTTTTTCGCCGGTTCCCCCCAGCCCCCCCAACCCTCCCCCAACCCCCCCCCCCCTCCCCACACACGCTCCTGCGGGGCCGATCCCGCCGCCCGCCGCCTGCCCAGCGCGCCGCCCCGCCGGAGCCCTGCTGCTGCTGCGGGCCCGCACTGCCGTGGGGCCGCCGGGCGAGCGGCTCGGGAACAGGGACCAGGCTCCCACGATTTCTGCCGGAGCTCCCGCACGATGATACTTCAGCATCTGCCAACACGGCTTGCTTTTTTTTTATTTTATTTTTTTTTTCATTTTTTTTTCTTTTTTTTCTGTTGTTGTTTTCCTCCTTTTTTTTTTTCCTCCCCGGTATTTTTCGTTTATTTATTTATATATTTATTTATTTACACCCCCCCCCCCGGTCCATTTATTTATTTATTTATTTTATTATTTATTTATTTATTTTTATTTTATTTTTTAAATTTTTTTTTTTTTTTGCACGGAACGAGTTGCGCGCTCCCCCAGCACAATTAGTTTCGTCCCCGGCGGACTGGCCGCGTTGCACAGCCCACTGGAAGCGGCCGGATTTCCCCCCTTTTACATATATATATATATATATATAAATATACATATGCATATATTTTAATTAATTTCTTTTTTTTTAATTTTCTTTTTTTTTTTTTTTTCTTTTTCCCAACCCCCCCATCCCACACCCCTCCCCTCTCTCTCTCTCTCTCTGTGTGCGCGCCTGAGTCACCGCGCTCGTGTGGCGCCCCGCCGCCGCCGCGCTCGGCTGCCCCGAAAACCTCCTTTTTCTCCCCAAAACCCCTCTGCAGCCCGCGCCTGTCCTCCCCGAGCCCTGAGCGGCCGGAGCGGGGCGCGGGCAGACCCAGGCTGCAGGCAGGGGGTGCTCCTGCCCTGAGGGGCCGGCGAGGGGAAATGGGGAGACCCCAAAAAGAGGGGGCGGGTCGGTGCGGGGTGGCGGGGCGCCGAGCGGGGCCGCGAGTTTGAGTTGTGGAGGTGAAGGGCCCGCAGCCGGCCCCGGGCAGCTGCCTCCGCGCTGACACCCGCCCGCTGCCTGATTGGCTCCCGCTCGCCAGTGGGCACCCGGCGCCGCCGATGTAAATACAGCACCCAAACCCAAACCCAGGCCCAGTCCCAAACCCAATCCCAAACCCGCTGGACAGAACGGGACGGGCACAGGGATGGGCCCCACCGGCCTTCCCCTCACACCCCGTGCCCTCCTGTGAGGCAGCCCCGAGGCTCCAGCCGTGCCCTGCCAGCCCCGATCCGTAGCGTGGATGCCACATGAGGGGCTAGGCTGGGTGTGAACCCACAGCAGGTGGTGTGAACCCTAATGCCAAGCTCGGTGCCTCGCCAACACCACCTCCTCAGCACGCAGCTGCGGCCCCGCAGGGAGAGCACAGCATGGGGAAGGCAGCGAGGAGTCGTCCTGACAGGCACCGCGTCTCCGCCAGCCCCGTGGAGAACCCAGAGAGGCAGGGGGCACCGGGACGGAGCCGCGGGCACCACGCTGCAAGGAGCACCCGGAGCTGCTGGTCTCCTTGTTGCCACGCACAGGCGTGAGATGACGCTTGAGTTCTCGCTAGGAGAGCGAGTCGTGTGAAGGGGAGCAGGGCACGAGAATTTCACGGCTCGCTTTTCCCCTCAACGAGATCCTTCTCTTAAATCTTCCAGTAGCTTTTAGCAGTGAGGAGTAGCAGGAGCAAACGCAGGTGGACGCTTTTGGGGTCCTCAGACAGCTGGATCGTTCTGTAAAGTGTGTTCTTCAGTCAGCAAAACCTGAAGAAAGCGTTGGATGGTATCACAACTGGTGTATCAATCCTAAAAAATAATCACAGAAACCTTGGGCAGGCTGGCTGTGTGTGTTTGCCCACTTCCAACGGAGCACTCCTGTCGTGTTTTTAGATTTTATTCCACTTCCGTATTATTTCTTCCAGGGAAGTAAGATTTTTTTTTGTGAATGTTAATTTTTACCTTTTTAAAATTTGTAGTAATAAACGAGGTCACTGGAAGCCATCAGCTAATAAGGCTTCGCATGCATACCCTTTCATAATTAATCCAAAAAATTCTGCATTGTTTGCTTGCTTTTAAACACAGGTAGTTCACAATTCGTGCCTTTGAAAGCTGGGAAAACTGTGGTCTGATAGAGATGGCACATGCTGCTTCAGAGTGCTATTTCTCACGGCAGAAATTGTTAAAAGTATTTTATTTTTATTGGCGTGAGAGTAAATTCATTATGTCCTCAGTATGACCCTTAGAAATGCTTTCTTGTATTTATGGGTTTATGTCCTCTCTCACAGGTTTCTTTGTTGTTGTTTTTTTGTGTGTGTGTTTTTTTTTTTTTGGTACTGTAAGAAATAGGATGCAGCTTAGAAAGAACGGTCTTGCAAGGGCACTATTCTTTGACGGTTTTATTTTTATTTTTTTCCTCAAAATAATAGTAATAAAGGCAACTCAGCAGAGCTCTTTATAATAAGATTTTTCCATCCGAGTAGTAAGTGGATAAGATAAGATTTTCTTAGATTTTAAGTAATATTTTTAATGTAGAAAATGGGTTGTATAAAATAAAAAATAAATACTTGCTGTTAGCTTACAGAACACAATTATTTCTGTACATTGTCTTTTGGTTTTAATTCCCAAGTAGCCACCTCCAGCTATGTTGTATCAGTAAGTCGAGAAATTGATTGCTTTTTGAAAGAGTGAAAGGGAATATGCAGTCCAGCATTTGAACGTAAGGCTTCTCTCCTTTTTTTTTTTCTTGATAATCACCTGTGCGTGTGCTGTGTGTATGTGTATACACACATTAGAATACACTCACTTGTCATGTGTCTTTGCAAAGCAGATGATGATTGGCCCCACGCCTATAGAAACTATTGTGCTGCGAACAGAAAAAAAAAACAAAAAACAGGGGGACTGTCAGTAGCCTACAGCATCCGAGATACTTGCTCAGGAAATTCTTGCCTCAGCGTGGGCAATTTTTGTAATGTTCAGGACTGCGGCATCCCACTCTGCGCTGAATTCTGTGTTTGTCCAGCCTTTTAAATTATTTAAGGAAATTTTGCTTCGGTTTCATTTAATGTCCTTACCCAGCAGCGAGATGAGATCTGTAAGCTCGAAAAAGAGGCCTCTTGTTTCCGAAGAAACGCACGTTTTCAAAGCAGATGGATCTTGCTCATGCTGATACGTTGATGCGATTGTGGAGGAGTTTTGTGATGCTAGTGCAGTACCTTGTCACTCAGTTATTTTGATTATCGACGAATTCCTTGGCAGTGTACAAATACTGAACGTCCTGAGGCTCCTTTTATTCCACAGCTCCGATTTGCACTGCAGCAGCTTAACACGTTAGGTGGCCTGTCTGTGTGCTGTACGTACCGCTTTCTCCTTCGTGCACGTGCGTAAGGTTTACGAACACCTTACACACAAAGAGAGAGAACTGGGGTCTTTCCAGGAGCACCCACGTAGCACAGGGTGCTGACCTTGTGTTAGAAAAAATCCATCGAGCTGCTCTCAGTCCGTGTGCCTGTGGATCAGCTGTCTGTTTTGCAAGAGAGAAACTCGGAGTGTGCCCCATTCTGCAGCTTTCTGTGCCGAATAGGTTGCCTTTACCAGGAGTTCTGGCTAAGTCAGGGCTGCGGAGTCCTGACCTGTGTCTGAAGGCCATTAAACAGCTGTTAGTGTGGCAAATAGATTCTTGATGTCTCAGTGGGAGAATAAAATACATTTTTCCCTGTGCATTTTCGAATAAACAGCCTGCTATTCACACAGCTTCTATTCAGAAGCTGCAAATAGCAGTATTCTCAGTTAGTAGCATCTATATATATATTATGACTGTGTATTTGACACTTTGTGGTTTGGTGTTCAGTTATTGGTTTCTGTAGCATCGCTTGTGTGCCGACACGTTGAACAGCAGGACCCTGTCTGCAAGGTACAGCGAAGGAGGAGAGATGCAGACCCGTCCGCTGTGTTCCCACCTCCACCGTGTTACAATTCCACCACTGAGTAGTTGATTAGCGTCTTCCAGGCATTCTGATCCAAATCTGGGGGGAGGAAGCACTAATGCATTAATCTGTCACTAAATTTCCTAGTCACGTGTGTGATGTGAAATTTTTGAAATTACTGAGCACGGTCTGCTGGGTGATGCTGTTTCCTTCTGAAATAGTAACCCTAACTTAAAACCAGGTGAAATTCATGCCATGAAAACAAGCTATAGCTACTGATAGATCTGTTCCTTTCTCACGTTTGTGTCTCAAATATTTTATCATCGGTATTTTGAGATTCCCATCGCTAGTGTGAGGACGGCAGTAGTTTATTTATCATTACGTCCTTAAGATTGTACCTGTGTCCTAGCGAGTTACATTTCATTACTTTTTCAAAATGTGCCATTTATCAGGAGGCTTTGAAGATTCTCTGTGGATATGTAAAGCAGGGTTGCCTCACTTGCTGTGCATGCACGCTCAAGGCTTCAGAATTTCAGTAGCGTGTGTTTGTGGTAGGCTAGCTTGCTGGAATGTATTTTAAAATTGTGATTATTAAGGTACTTGGGAAAAAAAAAAAAACAACTTTTTCTTTCAATTTTGGGGCTATTTGCATAGTGCTAAATACATGTTTTGGTAGGATTGAATGAGGACTTTAATTAAACTTAAATTAAAAGTATACCTTAGTGGTTTTCGAATTTGTTTTGAAAACTGGTAATAGGAAAGTGGTATCACGCAGCATTGTTCCTGTATTGCAGAGGAAAGCAAATAAATTTAAAACATGAAAATCTTGTGGAGCCAATTGTATTGGAGTAAAATTGATTTTAGAGAAGCCTTGCCTGTTATTAAATGTAAATATTATATTTTGGTAAAACTGAAGGGTTTCTGTACATTGGGTGCGTGTTTTGGTGTTCTGA